GTTGGCAAAGCTTAGGCAGCACCAGGAAATTTCACAAAATAAATTGCTCCTCCTGAGGAACCGCCTTCGCGGAATGGAGAAAAATCAACAGCAGATGCTGTCATTTCTAGTGATGGCCATGCAAAGTCCTGGATTTCTAGTTCAGCTTCTTCATCCAAAGGAAAATAGTTGGCGAATTGCTGAACCTGGCGATATAATAGAACAGTGTATGGATGATGATAGACCAGTGGCTTCTGATGGTGCGATAGTGAGGTACCAACCACCCATGATCGAAGCCCCAAAGCCTTTAGTCCCACCGAATTCAGGCTCAGGGAAACAACCTGAAGTTGATGCTTATCTGGGTGGAATGGAGGATTTTGTTGTAAATCCTGATTTCATGAAAATGCTAATGGATGAAAAGTCGAGCCCTGTAGAAACTCATGCTCCATATACTCTACCAGATATATCTGACGATGGTGCATGGGAGCAGTTTCTTTTAGCTAGTCCTTTCTTAGAAAATATTGAAGGTACAAAGGAAGATGGCGAAGAGCCTGCTGATGCTAGAATGGAGGTGGAACCAATGGTATCTGATCTGGATGAATCACAAAAGTTTGATTATTTCGTTGAGCAAATGAAGAAATCTCAGAACTTTGCATCGGAATCAACAGTTGATGGATCTAATATGGAGAGCTCTCAAAACTTGGAGTTTATTACTGAACAAATGGGACATTTGGCTTCTGACTCTAACAACATGGAACAGAATCAGGAAAGCAGAAGGACAACTTCTGTGTAACTTAGGTTTTTTCGATCAGCTCTAGTGACACGTTCTCGTGGACACTTACCAGTCCATCTCTCTTCCACAACTCAGTTTTAACTAATGTAAGTTGGTTCTTATCCTTCACATGTATCATAGCGTGTGTGGTTATTCTTTTATGCTGTCGTTGGAAATCATCTTTTCATTCATCGAGGCTACCTGGAGTTTTGTAGACTTGCGTCTTCATTATTTTTCTCGTTGACAGCTTTTGGTACGTTGGGACAAGCCGCACAATTTTGCATGATCGTTTTGTTGGGAAGAGGTGACATGTTTCATAATTTTGCTCTGTTTCTACATGTAATTTTGAGACTTCTTTCGTCAAATCTAGTAGTTACTTGATTCAAGAGAGTTGGAGAATCGTCTGCACCACTGCAGTGTTCTTGTTTTTCATAGCTTCTGCAACCTCGCATGGTATAGTTTTGTAATACCACGTTGTACCTTGTAAGATCAAGGGGGCACCAAATACTGTTCCTATTTTCTCAATACAATTGTAAGAACACTTATTTTTCGAAGTAATTGTACGACATTTTCGTGTACAATACTCTTATTAGCTTTCGACGAAAAAGTAAATATACGATCACAGGATGCACGTATACCGAAAGGGTTTGTTAAGATAATGAGCAACATTGGAATTTCGAAACATGAAGCGAAACGCACAAAGGTAAATCAATCTTAACACAGACAAGGTAGTTTGTATGATATGATAGAACGAGTGTTCATGGATGGATGGCCTTTGCCAAGCCAAACGCGGCCGCGGATGCTATGGCTCCGATGAGCGCAGTCTGGAAGGCACTCCGGAAGGGTTTGTTATCGGTGAAGCTGCCCTTGGCGTACCCGAAGATCAGCAACGCCAGCAAGGTCACGACAACCGATGCAACCAGAGCTTCCCTGGCCCTCGGAAAGAAGACGTAAGGAAGCAAGGGAACTGCTCCACCCAAAACGTAAGCAACGGCAATGGTGAGGGCGCTGTGCAAGGCTCTCCTTGGATCTGGCTTTTCCAATCCCAGTTCAAACCTGAATCATCACTCAAATTAACTTAATTATAACCATGTCATGCAATCCATTTGGCTTAAGCTTAATACTCGATGAAATCTTAGACTACAATTATAATTAAAACAGAAATCTTGTCGGGCATCATTGTGATAGAAATTAAGGAGTGCAAATTAAACCAAACACCTGCTACCAAATATATTTTGTCATCAACAACCCACCAATTGCACTTGCAGAATCAATCTATGCATGACGTATTTGGTATCGACAATGTTAATTTTTGTTTTGATATTATTGTGTCTACAACGCGTGGATACTTTTATTGTTGACGTATTATTTACCAATGTTATTAACTGTATCGATATAAGTGTTATTTTAAAAAAAAGAACCGGCTATTTTAGGACACTTTGCAATCTATCAGTGAAAATTCTAATTAGTTAAAAGATCAAAACAACTGATATCCTATCAGAATAGCAGATACCTACCCCGTGAAGTGTATGATATTCAACAACCAATGAGTAAAAGATTTTGTAATGATCAGCCGTAACACAAAATGCATAATAATATTAAAAAAGTGCCCCAAGTGGAAGTGGAAGTGGAAGCGGAAGTGGCCAAAAGTGCTTTTTATGCGTTCACAGTGTGATGAAGGACCACAACCACATGGATTCAGTCCACATTTCAAAAGAGAACCCAACTTTTGATTAAGCACTTCCAATGAGAAGATATTGGCTTTTTATAATTGCATTCGGTAGTGATGGAGGTGTTCACTTGGGAGAGCAACTTTTTTAGAACAGATTTATCGTTATGTTACGTTTTAGTTCAATAATGTATTCTTATATGGAAAAAATTTTACACTTAACAATATATTATCAAATATAAAACGCTACGTAATTGTAAACTTTTCTATATAAATCCTTATCCTTCACTCGTCAACTAGTCCTAGTTAGCCCCCACCACGTGCAGTTCACAGAATATCCACATCGCTTTACCTACCTTCACAAAAATCTTGGAAGGAAAAGAAAATATCTTCCTATCATTCTAAGTTTCTTAAGTATATACACACTTATTAGAAGCAGAATTTTTTAGTCATGATTAAATAAAGCTAAATCATGGAGAGTGATATGAACTTATGTGCAAAGGGACGAATAATGTTCTGACAAACCGACCTAACTTACGATTCCATAATTTATGTAAAGTAACTTACTTCATCATGAAGTCGAGCCATGCTTGGGGCTTCTTCCTTAGAGCATTCACAACCGGTGTATACTCATGCGGCTGTATTCCATACTCCGCCAGTATCTCCGCCACTTCTGCCGCCTCTGCAATTACCCCGTCATAAACGAAAAGAAATTTTATTATTCATATACAAACAAGCAATAGTTACCTTAATATAATCTAAAATATTAGAAATGAGATTCAAACTTAGGTATAAGCACTCCGCTCCAATTAACATGACCAGGACCTAATTAAAGTATAAACTTTAAAACTAATTGAAAATTAAATCAAGGGAGGAAAACAATCCAAATTAAACCTGTATCAGGAACGTTTGCAATTTCTTCTTGTTCTCTCCTCAGCTCCCTCAAATAGTGATCCGATTCACTTTTTGCGGCCAGATATCTGCGTAATAAATTATCAACGAATCAATATATTACCAAACGAGCACAAGCTGTGATATCAAACAATAGCGGAACAGAGAGAGTACCCGCCGAGTCCCATGGAGATAGCACCGGCGGCGACTTCGGCGATGCCAGCAGTGAGGACGATAGAGGACGTGGCATTGGCGCCGGACAGTCCCGCAGCGAGAGCGAACGGCACGGTAAGACCGTCGGATACGCCGATGATGATGTCACGGACGATCTCGCCGGCTGTGAAGTGCTTCTCCGTGTGCTTATTCAGCAGCGCTTGCTTCTCGGGGTCTAAGCTGGTCGTTTGTCCGTCATTAGCCATTGAGAAAAAATATGAAATAGGGTTTTGGATTCGTCCGTTTAAAACTAGGTTTCTTCGAGGAAGAAAGAAAGAGCAAACGTCTGAGATATCGGAGCGTTATATTTATATGGGTGTCTTTTTGTGCATAAATTGGGGGTAATCAGTATCCAAATTTCCAATGATTTTAACCTTTTTGTATGCTCCAATCATAGCCTAGCGTGCGTCAGGCGTGCGTGGATTTTGCTTTTTCAGAGGAGAAACTTTAAGGATACTATTCTAAAGTGAGAATCTACCTGATTATCGGCCATCACAGTTTAACGTCAATTCTTATGTTAAAATTATAAAATATTATCTAAAAAAATAAGTTGGTAAATAGTCCATATAGAGTTTGCTTAGCATTTCTCTTTTTAGATTGAGGAGGATGTTCTATGCTACAATCGTAATGTTAGAGAGACTATATTTAGAGACAAAGTTTTGAAAACTAAAGGATATAAAAGTTGATGATAGGTTTATTATCCAAGCGTTTATAAACGTGTTTATTTTTATTGATGACACATCATTTAGTTTGCTAATTTGTCTCCAACTTTAATCTTCTTAGCATTAGCTTTATAGAATAACCAATTGAAAATTATTAGTGATGCAGGCAGCAAATTTTTGTCACCATAGTTTAAGCAAATTACAATGGTGTAATAAACCTCTTGTATATCAGTTTCACTCCACATCGATGATCTAATCCACATCGGAGATTTAATCAATTAACCTGCCTGCCTTCTAACACTAATATCCAAGATTTTGTAGGCATGCAAGCATAGTAGGGCATGCAGGTGGCATTCACGCATATTGAGACGGAGTCACGGAGATGGTAATTATAAATAAGAAAAGGTGTCCTCACAGAAATAGCCAATGTAATATTGGTGCAGGCAGTTGCAGCCTTTACAGGTTCTGTGTGGAATATTATTTTAGAATCTGTGCCTCTGGTTTATTCAGATATCAATGTTTGGAATCATAGACATACCTGATGCTCTAATTTAATTTCTTCATTTTACATTTTTCCATCGATATATGAGGTTATTATTCAGGAAATCATAGTTTATTAACGTACGACATGGAAGACGGAACCAGAACAATGTAGGAACAGTTATTATACAAGCAGACACACACACACACACACACACACACACACACACATATAGCTACTAGAATAAACGATCAAAGAATGCAGAAAGTTGAAATTAGGAGACATTAGAAAACGCTAAATGCCCAATTAACTAGCTAGTTTCGTCACAGAGACGGAGGTCGCCACTAATTATTGATTAATGGTAAGCTTGGAAAAGTTTAGCAATGGAATAAGCAGCGGCGGAGGCAATGGCTCCGATGAAGGCGGTTTGGACGGCGCTCTTGAAGGGTTGAGTGCCGGTGAAGTGACCCTTTGCAAACCCAAATATCGTCAGAGCAAGTATGGTGATGACCACAGATGCAACCACAGCCCGTGTTGCAATTGGAATGAGCATGTAGGGTACTAGGGGAACCAATCCACCAACAATGTATGAAAACGCAATTGTCATTGCACTTTGTAGTGCTCTCATTGGGTCTGGTTTTTCCAGCCCTAGTTCAAATCTGCATCATATATAATAATCAATTAGTCACACCTCAAAAACTTGACAATAATCACTATTACTTTATCGGTGGCTAATAGCCACCCACATTTTACGCATCTCATCTTGCATAACTAATGTTAATTAATAGCTATTATGTGATCAACGTAGCGTTACTTTACTTCATCATGAAATCAAGCCAGGCTTGAGGGTTCCTCCTGAGAGCATTCACCACAGGCCCATATTCATGTGGTTCAACTCCATATTGTGACAATATTTCAGCAACCTCAGCAGCCTCTGCATTTCTCAATAGTTAAACACACAATCACACACACGACAGTATCAAACTTTAAAATGTTCTATGAAACGAAAAAGCGGTCACATGGTGTAACATTTTTAATTTACATTATTATGTTAATTACGTGCGTGGTCCTATATAACTGAACAGTACAGTTTGAAAGAGGTTCACATGATCTTAAGTTAGCAGGTAGGCTCGTGAATTTTCTGTGTGCGGTAAGAAAAGTTCAGCACACACAGACCTAATTATAATTTATAAACAAATCCAAAAGATTAACACATAATACACTAAATTAACATTAACTTTTGACTAGCACATTCCACAGTTAACAAGAGTTGTTTTTCTTTTTTCTTTTTTTGTTTTTTTTTGTTTTTAAGGTTAAAGAAAGTAGAGGAAGGTAAATGATTAAACTAATTAAACTGCAAAAATTAATTAAATATAATAATGTTGAGACCTGTATCAGGGACAGCGATGATTTCATCTTGTTCCCTCTTTAGTTCTTTCTTGTAATGATCAGCTTCACTCGTAGCAGCAAGGTACCTGCATTCATATATATATATATATATATATATATATATATGATCACCAAAATTAACAAAGATATATTGAAAACACAATTAAGCATATGCAAGTTTCAAAAAAAAAGCATCGATAAATTTAATGGAATTAATACCCGCCAAGTCCCATAGATATTGCACCGGCGGCAACTTCAGCAATGCCGGCAATGAGAATGATGGAGGAGCTAACATCGGCACCGGACAAGCCGGCGGCTAGGGCAAAAGGGACAGTGAGACCGTCGGATACACCGAGAATGACGTCACGCACAATCTCACTCGACATGAAGTGCTTCTCTTCATGGTCATGCAGAATCAGCATCTGCTTCTCTAGGTCAGCATAACCATTTTGATCTGCCATTTTTGATATTTCTTAATAAGCAAATTACGAAAAAAGTACAAGCAAATTAAGACTGTTTAGCTACTGAACCATCTCTGTCTTCTTTTGGTGAATGGCTAGCTATTTATACATGGAGGAAGAGGATGATCATGTGGGCCAATTAAAATTTAGATTAATAGTGGGGTGAGTGTCTAAATTCAGATTTGGAAGAAAAAGGTGTTGGCTTTCTGCAGATTCCAGATATAAAGAGAAATCAAAGAGATATATGTGCATATTGTTTGTTTTCTGCTGACCCGCCGAATAATAATTTAAGAGAAAAAATACAAAGTTGTGTTCGCATTTGATTGATCTGTCACTTCAAAGGCGTGTGCGCACCACAGGCCTCGATGACCTAGTTGACATGCATGTGTTGAATCGTGGACTTCACTGAGCCACTGCTGAGGTTTATGTAATTTTATAATGACATAACTTCTCTCTGTATGTGTTAAGAGATTCTTTGTATAGGGACGTGACGATATTGATCAATACAAGCGTGATTATCTCTTTAATTATACTAAAATTATTTATGCCATAGAAATCGTTTATTCATCTATATAAATTAAACAAATTAACAAATCATATAAAGATGATATCTGTTATCATAATTGTCAATCATATATGACTAATGGTGTCTAAATAAGATGATTTTTTCCGTAAATGATACTTAGTGTTGATAACAAAAATGAACAATTATAATGATAACGTTTGTGGGATAAAATAATGGACCTTCTTCAAGTAAGGAGGATGACTTCTCACATGTAGGAAAATACAAAATAAAAAATGAAGTTTTTTATTTTTTTATTTTTTATCAAATAAAAAATAAAGTTTGGGAATGGGAACTTGGGAGGATTTGTATGAGATCTTTTGTGACACTACGGGTCAAGAAAACAGGCAGGATTGGGTGGCATTAGGCGTGTGTCTGCCAAGGACGCGTACAAATGCTCAAGCTAAAGTGCCCCAGCCGACTAGGCGTGTGTGAGACACAGGCCTTATCCGAACTCATGCTAATTAGGTTTAGCTCCAAACAACATAACTAGTTTAGGTTTAGCTCCAAATTATTAAACAATAAATGTAAAAAACTCAACTAATACCAAGCTAGTTAACTATAAGGTCGTTTCTTTGTATCTGCTTCAGAATGTGGTTTCTATTAGTTATGTTGTACACAAGTATTCATCCAAATTATGTCGTTCGACAAATATTGACACATTTTTTGTCGAACAAGAAAGTCTCGGATAGGACTACTTCATGCAACCAGCTTCCTTGTAAACGAAGCATGATTTGTGCACTTCCTTATAACTAGTAGCGCTACTTTACTACAAAAGATTTGATAAATGGAGCACGTACATATGCATAAGTTCACGTCTCATTAGCATGTGAACGTTTGTCAAAAAAAAAAAAAAAAAAAAAAATTCCATTGATTTGATGATCCCTAACTTTTGCCTTATAAGAAGGAACATTATGAAGCACTCATAAACTAAATTTTCTTCCATACATAGCAGCCTTTATATATCCATGTTTAATTGACAAGGAAACGAATGCTACACTTATCACACTTTTTATAATACAATCGTACTATTTTTCTAATAGAACAGGGACCGACCAACACATGTAGATTCTATTTCTATTACAGAAATAGTTAGATCTCATCTATATTAAAAAAATACTACAAATTAAATATGAAAAATGTGAAAAGAATACTACTTTTGAGCGAGATGGATAACTCATGTTATCATGATGTTTGAGTAATGTGGACTGTGGGATAACCCAACCCACTCACATATAACAAGAAGTTAACCAAAGTATACCAGAAAGCATACATATATACACACACACACACTCATGATTCGGTACATATAATCCAACAAAACGAAAGCAAACCCACCCACTCACCAAAAGGAAGAAGAAACGTGTCAACTGAAACAGTGAGGCCACCCATTCTATCTCATTGCTGCTTGAACATATTGAGAGAGAGGTTATCAACTTTAATACTTCTCTCTCCCATTGCTGCTGGTACATATTCGGAGACTGAAATCACTCGTTTACTCCGATATTATCGGTACTGTTTTAATTTAATTATTTATTACTAATTGTTGGGTTTTATTACAAAAAATTTCGATGCTGTTAAGAGTGGAAACTGTTATTATATTACCGATGTGGAAACTTTTTTTTTTTATCACTGCCTATTTTGTTTTCCCTTCATTATATATAACAATCCAATCCAATTATCCAAGCCAACACAGATCACGCACATGTTGCAGTGCGATTGAACAACCATAAAAAACAATTTAGTTAAAAGAGGAAGTGATATATATATATCAGATCGTATATATGTTATTATGTATATCAGAGAAGTAGGAGTCTGCAATTGGATATATAGTGGAACGTCCACTACCACTTGCCAGCCACACGCACTCACCAGAATCCGATCATCGTCAGATTCTCTTTGTAAGGATTTCGAAAATCCGTTAATTATATCCGTTTATCGTACATCGTGCGGTCAGAAATTATTTTAAATATTTTTATTTAAAATTAAATATAAACAATACTTGATGAAAATTGATATGCATAACCTTAATTTCTTGTTTTGTTGATGGTGGATCCCAAACTCCAAAACCATCAAACGAAAAGCATAATGGTAAACATTTTCTCACATTTCATTTGTCTTGTAAATACATCCGTGAGAATTCAAACTAGCGTCAAAAGTTTTAAACCTTCACTCGCTTCAGTAAATACATCAGTAAATACATCCGTGAGAATTCAAACTAGCGTCGAAAGTTTTAAATCTTTACTCACATTTTACTAATCCAAGGGCTCCCTCATTTCAGAACTTTAGGTACGGTGAGAACACCGTTATATCATCCCTCAGTAGTATACCATTACAATATTGGTGGTTGGGCTTCATACTTTTGGGCTTTTACTCCTTGTTCACTTTGTTTACCGTAAGTTTGGGCCTTTAGAAATAGGCGGACTATCTTGATTATGTTAAGTTATGCTTAGGCAAATGAAGTGATTTTCGTACATTTATTTAGTCATACACAGAATTGTGTAAATTTTTTAAACCCGTGCCGACCCGACGGTCATTTGCCCACTCCTAACAAACAAACTCCTTTCAAGCAATTTCAATCCTAAATCAAAGAAAAATCCAGAAGTAAAAAAAAGAAAAATGTATTTTGGATATATAGCAAATTGACAACATTTAATTCAAATCTCATGTAATATTAGGTAAACGAACGATCAATAAATATATATAAGAAATTTTTAAGGAAAGAGATCTCCGTAATTTTTATAAAAATTAGGATTAGTTGTACAATTCACATTGCATTGAACTTTAAATATTTGAATCATTTATTTTTCAAGTTGCATTTTATAGATCCTCTTTACAAAATATAGCTAAATTGAAAATGTTTAAAACATCTAATTGAGTTCAAAGAAATTAACAAATATTTTGTTATATAAAAAAAATGAAATTTTATTTTGATAATTAAATAGACAAATGATTTTGAATTAAATTAAATTTTTGCAAACATAATCTATGAATCGAAACTTGTAAAATAAACTGTTCGAATCGTAGAAATTTGATGTAGAATAAGCCCACACCTAATCTTCATATCGAAAATTATATGGTAATGTTCTTCAGTTCAGGTCTCCAGATTTTCAGCAATCAATAAGCTCAGGAGAATTAAATATTTCATCATCAGAACAAAAATCAATAAAATCCCCAAATACACACCAAAAATACTCCAAAAACATCCACAGCAATACCAGAAAATCAATATAAAAAAAAAAAAAAAAAGGTAAAATCTTCTTAGAACGGTCTTCAGTTCAGGTCTCCAATTTTCTCAGCACCGTTTTTGGCTCAGCAGAACGAAAGTTTTGTGAAAAAATCATCATCAGAACCAAAACTAAGAAGATATTTTCAAATTCCCACAACCCAAAATCCAAAATCCAAAAAACACAGCAAAATCACATAATCTACGGCTCTCGCAAGTTTTGAAATAAATGGAGGTGAGGCTGCCATTTTATAGCGAGACACCTCTAAACCCTAGACCCCCTGCTGCAGGATTTGGGCCGCGGCCCATAGTTTCATTTGTTGTTCTGGGCCTTTATTTTATTTTTATAATGACTCCTAATTTCATCATGATGGGCTTTATTTCATCGTAGTTGTCCATTGGGCTCATGTTCCAGGCTCTTTTTTTATTTTTTATTTTTTTAATTTTTAATAGATTGTTGTGCAATTTTCTTTCAAAGAAGCCATTGAAGAGAAGAACATGGGAAAATAACAAAGTAGAACCGACTGCGAAAGGGTGATGCTACACACTTGCTCATACGATATCTAATACGGATATGGCTCACATATGAATTATTATTTTAGAGCACACTTCAATAGTTTTGGCCAGCTATATTGCACGTTCATCAACAAATGTTAAAAACTTTCAAGTCAGCATGTTGACTGATGTCATCAACTTTTTAGCGAGCTTGTTGACAAATGCCAATATATATCGAGTGAGGCTATCGACATATACTATAGCCATGCATACAAAGACATGAGGCTAGCAGCTACCCTGTTCAGTGGTTACAGAGACAATTCGTCAAGCAGTTGTAAACAGTTTTTAAGGGAATTTTCGAATTTTCATAGAGGAGCATCCAACTCTTCTATGGAGATTTCTGAGCAGTTGCCCAAAGGTGGAGACATAATAGTTGTTTAAATTGCTAACTTTTAATAATTTAGTAGTAATGTGAAGGTTTTGAAATTTTGTGTCTCTCTTCGAATGTAAGCGAAACCTTAAGGGTGTATTTTGCAATCAACTTAAAAAAAAAAAAAAAAAAAAAAAAAACCTGTGAAAAATATAAAACCGAAAAAGGGAGAGGCGAACCGAGAAGTGTGAGAAGAGGAAGGAACAGACGAGAAGCAGACGAAGTCGTCCAAAATCTCTACACAGCGGTGGAGGAGCCTGACGACGTCGCATCGGTTTCTGGTAAGTTCTTTCTTCTTCCCGTTCCCACACTGGTTCTCTTATTCCGGGAACCTGCTAACGTCGTGGTTTGGAACCGAATGGAGGAAGAAAAGTAAAACCCTCTTTGTTTGAATTGGGGATTCTTGTGCTCACTCAGTCGATCGACGTTGATTTTACAACACTGTTGTATCCAATGAACGTATTATTTTTATAAAGAAATAAGTAGGTTTCTTGTAAATTGTTTGTTGGGCTGCCACTTTGATTTGATTTTTGTCTTAATTTATGCATCTAAAGATATGTAATTTTGTTAATTTTTTGCTAAAATTGTGCTCTAAACTTGTTTAAATCTTATAAATTATATATATTTCATGGTTTTTCCTCTTATGGTGTTTCTTAATTACCTTTCCCCCCCCCCCCCCTTGTCAGATTAATTGTTTTTCATCATGTCTTGGTGCACGATTGAGTCCGACCCAGGTATGATTTCGGCTTTCTTGTCCATTTGGTACCTTGTATATGAACGCTCGAGGGATAGTCTTAACGTGGAGCTGTATAGTTCGTTGTTTCGGATATATCAATTGTACTGAAATGCATCACATGTTACATGGGAATTCATAGATAGTAGTAGTAAGCATTATGTGGTCCATAAGTTTGGTTTTCGGAATGTATTGTTGGGACCGTATGAGTGATGAAAGTTGTGATCTGGCGGTGCGGATTGATATTGTATAGGATTTGGGTAATTTGGTAATGGTTAATACGCAGAAGCACTTCAAATTTCCGAGAAGGGGAAAGTAGCTTGGAACTTTTTTTGACGAAAATTTATAGCAAATTTTTAATTTTCGATAAATAGGAAGTTAGGAATAGCTGTAGTATATGCATGAAGTGTACTAGTTTTTTCAACGTTGTGCTTTGCATTGCAGGGGTGTTCACTGAGCTTATTCAGCAAATGCAAGTAAAAGGCGTGCAGGTACGCCTTCTTTGATGACTTTTATCTCTGTATTTATATTTTATGTTTAGGACGCACCGATCCTAGTTTATAGTTGATGCCTGCTGTTACTGCCCATACCATGATACATTTGTATGGCCTTGCAGGTTGAGGAGCTGTATTCATTGGACCTTGATTCTCTGAACAATCTGAGGTACGTTAGTTTCTGTTTAAGATTTTATCTCCTGGATAGATATCCTCATTTTTGCTGGAAAAAAATTCTTGAGGTTTATCATTGTTTTAGTTACTCTTTTCCTTTTGAAATTTACAGGCCAGTGTATGGTTTGATTTTCCTATTCAAATGGCGCCCGGGGGATAAGGATGACCGCCTTGTAATTAAGGATCCAAATCCTAATTTGTTTTTCGCAAGCCAGGTTGGTTTTCTTGAAAATGTATTTCCCTTGTGTAGTGACATACTTTTAAGGTCTTCTATCTTACAGTCTGTATATCCTCCCAGGTTATTAATAATGCATGTGCAACCCAAGCAATCTTGTCTATCCTCTTGAACTGTCCGGACGTTGACATTGGTCCTGAACTGTCGAAACTGAAAGAATTTACGAAGAACTTTCCACCTGAACTGAAAGGATTGGCAATAAACAATAGTGAAGCTATCCGTGCAGCTCATAATAGTTTTGCCAGGCCTGAGCCGTTTGTTTCTGATGAGCAGAAGGTAGCTGTCAAAGATGATGACGTCTACCATTTTATAAGCTACTTGCCTGTGGATGGAGTCCTGTATGAGCTTGATGGACTGAAGGAGGGGCCCATTAGCCTTGGACAGTGCCCCAGCGGGCAAGGTGACATGGAATGGCTGCAGATGGTGCAACCTGTAATCCAGGAACGCATCGAAAGGTATTCCAAAAGTGAGATAAGGTTCAATCTCTTGGCCATTATCAAGAACAGGAAAGAGATGTATACTGCTGAGCTCAAGGAACTCCAAAAGAAGAGGGAGCGTATTTTGCAGCAGCTGTCTGCCTTACAGCAAGAGAGAGCAGCTGACGGGAGCAAGTTTGAAGCGCTGAACAAAGCTCTTTCGGAAATCAATGCTGGGATCGAGGGTGCCACCGAGAAGATCTTGATGGAAGAAGAGAAATTTAAGAAGTGGAGAACAGAGAACATTCGCAGGAAGCACAACTACATTCCATTTCTGTTTAACTTCCTCAAGATTCTTGCCGAGAAGAAGCAGTTGAAGCCTCTTATTGAGAAGGCGAAGCAGAAGGCAGGCAACACCAGATGAAAGTGATTCAATGATGTCGCGGTATTATGGGATTCTGGGGTTATTTTAGGCGATGTGAGTTGTAATTTCGGGTGAAGCACACCAGATTATACATGTTTTCGCGAGGTTACTCGTTAGACTTTGAAGATATTTCGGTGAGACATTCCCCGGAACTGATTTGTTCACTTTTGTTTAGGTCAAGAAACATACATGTCTTAAAATTCATAATGCATATGTAGAAATACGTTAAAAAAAATAAATAAATAAAAAAAATCAGAAGTCGCCCACCGTGGGGCTCGAACCCACGACCACAAGGTTAAGAGCCTTGCGCTCTACCAACTGAGCTAGACGGGCTTGGATAATTGGTCAACCGTCATTAAGTTAATTAGCTGTTACACCAGCAAAGCATTATCCAAATCCCCTCGTTTTGGCGCCTAACGGGGCTCTATCATCGTCAACCCTCGATGGTTGATTCGTCGGCCTTATATATACGTTAGATATTCAGGTGGCAGAGAGAAACAGAGACTTCCTTCCCTCCCTTGCAAATCAATACATTGTCCAGATAATCAATGGCGGACTGCACTGGAGAAAGGGAAAAAGAAGGGTACACAGTGGAGGAGACGGCGGCTGTGAGGAATCGGTTGTCCGGGCTCCGCCTCGACAGCAGCAGCTTCAAGTCTTCCTCCGCTGCTGATCCCAAGAATCCCGTGAAAACATTGAAGAGGCGGTCGCCCACCCAATCTCCACCATTATCCCAACCCAACCCCAAGAAAGAGAAGCTCTCTCACCCTCCTCATCCTCCTTCTCCTCTTCTCCGCCGCTGCATTTCCGATACCTTCTGTTTCAACCCAACTCCTCCGCCTCCCCAGTCTCATCCGGAGCCCACGGTCACGGTTACACCACCGCTTGCCCCACCAACCGGTAATGCCTCCGCTGCCGCCTCTGCCTCAACCATTAATCCGAAGCCCAAACTCCACCGCTCCGTATCCGTTCCCAATCCTCGCTCACTGAAAACCGTCTCCGGCAGTGACGAGGACGACAATACGTCGGTTCTTAGAGATTGACAGAGGCTTGCGAGGCTAAAGAACCGGGTCAGAGAGATGAGCTTGTGGTTCCAACAAGTCATGCTTGATGAAGTTGAAGATCCCGACGACGAAAACGAACACCACCACCATCAAGAACAAGATGAAAATGGAAGCACGTCACCCACCGATCAGGATGTTAAACACAACACTAAAACTCCGTCTGTCAGCTCTGGGGTACCTATTGGTGTTCTCAATTTCTTTCGTTCGTCTCCGGAGACAACCGCTACTACAAGCTTGTGTAGATTCTGATGGAGGCAACTGCTTCTACTAAAAGCACTTATTATTCTTGGCTTTCCCTTTTTGTATCATTTTTTCTTTCATTTTTACTGTCCATGTAGGAAAATTTTTGCTCATGAACGTTTTTTTTACTAACATGTTGAAATTTCAATTGAAAATACAATGAAAGTGCTTTTTCAGGAAGCGTTGCTATTACCCTAACTTTTTAAAAGAAATTTATGTCGAACGTTGTCATAGACGTTTTTTTGTTGCCAAAAAGCGCTTCAGGCCTTCCAGAAGCAGTCCCAAGGGGGCATCGCAACTCTTCCCCAACGTTGAAAGGCACGATCATAGAGAATGGACTGATAGCAAACCGAAAAACACTTGCAAATACATATCAGAAAAATACATGACAACGTAATTTGAAATGATATTTATTTCTCCTTGCAAGTGTGATGTCACAGAAATTTACAGTGCTGAGGTCCAACGGTTGGTTCGTCGTGAGGTGCACAGAGCCAGGAGGAAATAACACAATACTGAGCAATGAGCATGTATGGCGGACCTCTCATTTCGTTGTACCATCTTAGTATACATCTCAAAAACAAGAAATTTACTCTAATTCAACGAGAAAACTCCATTGCAGTACCTGCACAACTCAACGAAAATAACGATTCAGTACATATGCTCTAGCGCATTGTTATCACGAGTGATCCAAGAAAAAGAAAATCTGAAATTCATGTATTGCAACTAGTTGCAGCATTGAAGGAAATGTGCGGTACCTGTTGCTGAACTTCTCAACAGCATCGGAGGCATAAAGAAGTGTTTCGTTGGCTTTCTCTAGAACCATATAAAGCTCCTTCCCTCTTGTAACCCGAGCGATAACCCAAGCATTGTTTTTCGCCCTGATGCTAATTTCCAATTCTTTCTCGTGACCAGCATAATCCGATTTCGCTCTACTTTTTTCCAAATCAACTTCTTCTCTGATCTTACTTAAGGCAAGTAAGGAGCCCTGCCACAGACAAGAAAAATGGGCAACTTGGAATCAATAGATAGGAGCAATAAATCAGCATAAATTTGATGAGATCTAGTCTGGTCAGTGACGACTAAGACTAAGGCCAACTCCAACTGAAAAGGCTAAACGTAGCTCCGTCTAGAATTATAGCCCTACAATTTTTTTTTATTTTTTTTATTTTTATTTTTATAAATAAATAGTGTTAGGCCATAGTCATATGTCATATCCAACCGAAGGGGCTAAACATAGCCCCCTCAATAATTTATTGGTTTTAAGTTTATACTATAAATTTATTAGTTAATTTAATTAACTACCATTGGATTTTTTTTTTTTTTTTAATCTAGCCTTTGAATTTGAATCAATTATTGCAATTGAGGAGCTTAGCCCAAAAATAGGGCTAAGAAGGGGGTTACATTTGGCTAGCCTGATGCCCCTTTTGCCAAAATAATGGACTGGTGGGCTACATAGAATTATAGCCTAGCCATGGGTTGAAGATGAGTTTTTGGGCAAATCAGGCCATTTTTTGGCTTTTAGACCTTTAACCCTCTCCATTGGAGATGACCTAAGATCTCACCCATAATTTATTAGCTGCGGCTAGGGATTACAATCATACAATTTTTGATGCAGTGAACAAGGTGAAGATCCTTAACCAAACAGCTACCTTTTAGCAGGAACTGTGCAGAAGAAGAAAGCAAGCCAACTGTGGCGGGATACTTTACCTTGGTAAGGGTTGTGACTTTTCCTGGTGGAGAAGCCCTGGATACATTTCTGTCTCCATCTGCTAGTAAATACCGATATCCACTAACATGATATGCATTCTCACCACCCCATCCTTTTGATAATTTCTCTTCAACTTTCAACAGCTTTAGGGATACCTGGTAAACGATAAACAAGAACATAAATTAAAAATATGTCACTTCATCTTTCTTGACCTCGATTGATTTTGGTAATGATTTTCACATGACAATGCCAATGACAAGTTTAAATGTAGAGAGGCTGTTTGATAACATAAGCATCACAGTTAATAGCAGAGATAGAAAGCTCACATTTTCAAGAACTTGCTGCTTCACTGCAGAAACACCTTGATCACCATTTAGTACCGAAGAAACAGGAAGAAGAAAAATTAAGGTAAGGCTCTTATGCTGATGGGCACACAGATACATTCTCTCCTCTGTTTGATGAAGCAAAACTGTTGGGGTGGCAGACGTTCCAGTACTAGCGTCTGCACCCCAAATATCACTGACAAGAAAACCATCCTTTCCTTTGGACCACTTATCAGGCTGCAAGGGCCGTACGACTCGAGAACTGTTATCTCCAGCAGGAGAGTTGCCAAGTGAGCCATGCAATTGTTCTGGAATAGAACCAGGACGGGCCAAGCTAGAACTTGAGGAGACATGCGATGTAGCTCCCTTGCGTAAATAGGACCAGGAACTTACTCCAGAGGATAATGCACGGGGAGTCAACCTTAAAACAGCATATGCAAAGAGGTTTACGGTATCATCCTAACAAAAATAGGATAACAAAATTCACAGAAGTTAGCATTTCCAAAATAAATTTCAAAAAGTAAACTTTATCTCAGTTCTTAAGGTTCTCTTGAACTTGAAGGCTAAAACACAATGGCATATGAAATGATTAAAAAACCAACAATGTTAAGATCAAATCATACAGGAGAAAGTGTCGTGGACACCAAGAGGTCCTGAAACAAGATTAGTGAGTGACATGGCATGTTCCCAGCACACGATTCAAGTACCCTGACAAGCGACTGCAAAGACAAATGAAACCATTAGAAAATACATGGAAACAAATATACCATATTGCATTAACAACTAAAAACACGAATTAGGAGGTTCGGGTAGAACTTAGAAGTCAGGTTGGAATAAAGGTGAAAGCCCTTACACGCACAGAGACGTAGAGTTTTGAACAATACCAATTGGCTAAAAGGAAGATAATAGGACTGTTAGTGATAATAGATAAGTTCCTAATGGTAATGACTATTGAAGCACTGGATTAAAAGTTAAGGCCGATGAATCTACAGTATAATTCAGAAATTGAATAAGATGAAAATTACAGCATAACCGTTCTGGCCAGAATGTGAAAAAGCCTTAAGTATTCCAGAAACATATAATTTTAAATATATTCTGAAAACAAACCTGAACTTCGATTGCCGCTTCCCGCCCTACAGTAAGCATCTGTACAGTTCCACGCTCATTTAAAGCGTCACGGAATGAAGGTAGCAGCAGTTTCTTCCCAACCAGAAAATCTGCCGCAGAGAGTAAAACCACACATATGAGATACAGCAACTTCAGCATTACTCAGGAACAAAATTCCAATTGAGAGGGCACGATACAGCAACTTCAGTATTACCCCAGCAGCACTCATCGAATGGAGACCGCTTTAGAAATGCTGGCAATTAGTGACTTTACAATGAAATTCTAACCCCAAAGACAAAATAAAACTGGACTTTAGTGCAAGTAGTAGGCACGCAACTGTATGATAACTTACCACCGAGATAGTCCATGACGAAATGGTACAGATGGGAACGAGTGAGTCCCCCACCGGGGTCCTTATCAAGCAACGCTCTTATCGATCCATGAAACATCACGAAAAGCAAATGTACTTCCTTGAGAACCTTTCTCAATGCATCACTTCTCCAAATTGGTTCGAACTCCTTGTTTTTCTCCACTACCTACCACAATGTAGAGCAATGATTCTAATCTAATCTAAACCGCGGGAAAGGAGGGGGGGGGGGTGTTCGAACTTAACTGAAGAATAATCGAAATTATAACTGGAATTGAAGAAACGAGAGCTCACCATGACCATCCAGATATCGGGTTCCGCCTCGTGAAAGACATGGGAATGCCTCTCTGCTTCAATGGCCTCGCAAGCAGCCTCAGGAGAGAAGATTCTGCACAAAACACACCCAAATTCTTCTAATTAAAAACTAAAACCCCAAAAATAGAATGAAATTGCAACAAAAAAAGAAGAAACCTTGTAAATGTGATGAGTCCTTCACTGAGCCCGATCACAGAGAACTGGGCGGAGAAGGGCAAATCAGCTGGAAAGAAGAAGAGTATCTTGTCCAACTCCTGCCCTTCGTTCTGACCCCTCCTCAAATCGAATATGCACAATTGCACCCCTTCTGGAGCGGTAGCCGTAGTAGTGGCCGACGACAGGCCCATACTTTCCCCTTCCAAATTTAATGGCGGAATCAAATAGTTGGATTAGAAATTGAAAACCCTAATTTCGTTATCTGCTGAATTCAAACGACGACAGGTAAATGCGAGTTTGGAATTCCCTTAATTTGCCAAAGGTTGACGACGATATCTACATGACACAGCGAAACTTGGGGTAGATGTTAGGGATTTAATCTTGATTTTGGTACCAAATTATAATTTTATTTGACAGAGATCGTTTTTTCTGGTTTGTTCAGAGTTTGAACGGTTGGTAACAGGGTGGGAGAATTTCACCAATTACTGGGCCTGGGCCTTTGGTATTAATTAGCGGTGAAGTGGGCGGCCCATGTACCACATCAAGCCCACATTGACGTAAATGAGGCGCGCAATGCAAGTACAAAACAGCCGTCGCACCAACTCTCTGCAAATTCACAAATTCTAATTTCAAACTTAATTAAAAAAAATATAAAAATAAATTTTAGCAATGAACTTTAAATTTTAATCAAATTAGAGTAATGGTTCTTCAATTAAAAATTTATTATTATTAGTTCCTCAAGTCATTAAAATGTGTAGTTATGATCATTTTCTTCAACTTCGTCAAAATTTTGTCAAAATGAATTATGTTGGAATGACCTATTGCTATAATTGGATTAAAGTTGATGGACTATTTCTCAAATTGGATTAAAGTCGATGGACCATTTCTCCAGTTAGATTAAATTTGATGGATTATAGCTGTACGTTTTGATGAGTCGAGAGACCAATATTAATAGATTTTTATTTGAATGACCATTGTTTCAATTGACTTAAAAGTTGAGTTACATTGCTGCCATTTACTCTTGAAAAAATGAAGTGCAAATCTATCTGTGCGCTGCAGAACCTCGAAACGACGCGGTTCCTGGAGGCGAAGAAGGAGCTCCGGTCAGTGCTCCGTCACCAGGGGCAACCTCAGATCTCTCCGGTTATGTACTCGTCTCTCAACAATGCTCGCAACGCTTGTCAACCAGGCTTCTTTAGAAGGTAATCATGATGCGTCCCCGTCAACGAGTAATGGAGCGATGGGGTTCTGTTATCGTGAAGAACAAATCCAGTTCTCAATTTCTCATCGACGCAATCTCATGGTTTTGCAGACTCATGTGAGGACAGAAGGCGATGATCTACGCGAATGCATAGAGGAATGGATGAATTATGATATCATAAAATTCAGTTTGTTATCATCGCGTGTCTTGTTGTATTTTCATTTCTCCAATTTGCTACATTTGACAGAGCCTATAGTGGTTGTTAAAGTACGTATGTTCTAAAGTCCGATCAACTTCTTTGCAAGGTATTCCCCTGTCCACTTAGACAATGGCTGCACTGTGTGCAGCCTTGTTAGAGAAGGACCGGTTCTTTCTGGTGAAAACATTAGGCATTGGTGTCTTCTTAAGAGTTCAGACTTCATTCCTTCTGGGTGACAAGCTTATTGTCTTGCATTCAGACTTGTTTCCTTCCAGGTGATAAGCTCATTCGATTGTACGGACCCGAACCGTGGCTCTGATACCATGTTAGATTTTTAGATCGCCAGGCCTGTCCCACTCTAACGACACCGATACTGTTTCCAACTTTACAATTTGCCCAATCCGTTAGGTGTGACTCTAACGACACCGACATTATTCCCAACTTTACCACCTGCTTAATCTGTCTGGTATGAGATTTTACCATAAAATACCTCGGTATTAGTTAAAGTAGGGTAATTCTTTGAACCCACCGATGTGGGACATTTAAGATTCCTGAATTCGTATTAAAAGGCAGAACTTTGAAGAATTATCATATTTACGGCTATTACATTCCTACCGAATAAGGCTGTGCAGTATAGAATCCTTGTATGCAATAATGCAACAGAATCCTTGTATGAAGCCATATGATACAGAGAAACCGAAAAATGATTCATTTGTGCACATCGGTCATTTAACACCGGGCTTTGTATCATCAGGAGAACTGACTGGAGCAACTGGAGGCTCCGGGGCAGAAGATTCGTCAAGATGGGTTTGTGCAAAGTCAGTGATGACCTCTGTCCTCTGCCTGTGCATTATCTCCATTTTTTCCTCCTCGGTGCTCTCCACCTTCTCCTTGGCCATCATGCCCACATCCTCAGCCACCTTTGCAACTGCGCTGAGTGCGTTAGAAACCCATGAGGCCCCGGTCAATACATAAGGGTTGCTCATGATAGAAGATCCCGCACTGCTTGCCTTCTGCTCGGCAACAGCAAAGGCAGACTTTGTCTTTTCAGATACCATGAACTTTTGATCCATCTCTCTCACCTTTTCGCTGACAACAGCTCTTCCAGCACCTAGCTTCTCCATCAGCCCCATCCTTTCGTTAATTGAAACGACTGTGGCAGAGACATTTGACGTCAACTTATGCCTCTCGTCAAACGCTTTCGCCTTGTTAATCGCATCCTTTCCTAAGATGTATCCCTTGGCAAGCATAGCGCTGGCCACATCTTCTGCCTTCTTTACAGCAGAACTAGCAGCAGCTGGCTTTTTCTCCTTCAAAGGTGAATACATTATAGTAAGAAACGCCACTCATTTGAAGCGCGCACACACACATGACAAGTTTTAGGCACATCAAATCTTGTCTCCAAGTTTATGTCCCGCAAGATTAAATGGTTGAAAGATAAATGACACATAAATGGATGCATGCCATGGTATTTACCGGGCTTGATGGGAGCGGAATAGCTTCAGGAGGCAGCTTGTAATCCTTGGCAGTTGTAATGGTGACAGGAAGATCTGCTATGGTGGCTCCCTGAATTAAAAGAAAAACAACACCCCTAGTAGTAAAAAAACGCCTTCTGCATTAGGCTCGGCTAACATCTAGGGAAACAAGCAAAGCATCGAAAAGGAACTTACCGACAAAAGAACTGCTGTATCTGCTCCTTGTGCTTCCTTGAAGGTAACGTAGGCAAGCTGTGTATTTTCAGTTTCCCTGCATGAACACAACACCGAAATCTTCAGAATCGCGAACGTACTAAATCTGTCACATACATAACTAAAAAATGTGTACCGTTGCATCTCAACATGTTGAATATCTCCGGAAAATGATAAGAATTCCTTGATATCCTTGTCGGAAATGGCTTGCGAGATGTTGCTTACTTTGACTGACTTTACCTGCGTATGAAAACCAACCGAGTAAATATTTGTATGTTCAATTAGTCCAAAACAGAATGTAGTATTACGAAATTTAAATATGGAGCGGGAATTTGAAATCGGCTTTATAGGAGGAGTACATCCGCTCTAGCTAATATAGTTGCAGAAACGTACACAAATGCATACTTATTTTGGTTACAAAATAAATTTAGCATATGATAGTATAAAAAAGGGAAACAACCACGAATTTCGCGATGAATGCTAATACAAAAGGTTGGGTTTTCTCACATTTGGGGCTATGTTCGTGGAGATTGGTGTGGGAGCTGTCGACTGGGGAGCTGCTTCAATCCCATCATTTGCAGGTTCCGCCGGAATCTGTACAGAAAGTTCTGAATTAAATAATTTCAGGGGAGAATGGAAATTAATCGTTGGAATTGGAGGCAAAAATTATTTCCAAACTTGACAAATATCTTGTTTTCCCGCATTTTCCCAGCAACCAAACAGATTAAAATAACTAGCACATTGCGTCAAACACCAAAAACAAAGAGATGTTCGTTCAATCAAACAACAACAACCACCAAGCTTTATCTCACTAAATGAGATCGCGTGTATGAATTCTAGAAAGCCACTGAATTCGGTTTTGCAACAAGTTTTCCGTTAGCTCCAAGAATTCTTGTCCGTTCAATCAAAGATATGAAAATCATGAAAAACCAATTGATCTAATCCAACACAAAGAACGAATGCTACGAACAATATTTTCAGGAAAATAAAAAGGAAAAACTCACCGACATTTGGGTATATTTTTGTACGAGAATCGAGAGGGAATTGCACGTCCTTGTGTTGTAGTATTTTTGTTCCTGTTTTTCTCTTATTTTTATTTGATTTTTATTTTTAGGGTTAATTTCTATTTTTTGTTAATGGTGTTTTGATTTTGCTATCAGCGGGAAGTTCGGGAATCGCGATTGGGGTGTCCGATTTTGGGCGGTGAGTAGCCAACTCGTTGTCAGTTGGAGCTCGCTACAATGAAGCGGGCTCCAACTCGCTGGTATATAAATAGTTATTGAATATCACTTGTATATAAAACATAAAGATCTCTAGGATACGGTTGTACATGATCTTATGTTGATCTCGTTCAGTGCGAGACATCCCTATTTCTCTGATTGTGATTGTTGGTAACTGGCCTTCCAATTCAAAAGTTCTACAAAACCAATTTCGGATTGATATGGATTAATGATTATGGAGGCTAGAATCCAAAAGTGCTTTTCAACAAAAGCAGGTTTCAAAACAGCTTTCCACTTCAGCAAGTGGAAAAAAATTACACTCATGTGATTGATTCTACTTTGATCCCACAAGCCTGGCAATTGCCAAGCAAACAAAACATGAGAAAAAGTTGGTGATCCATCATCCATGTGCAACATGCATAAAATTACAATACGATCTGTGTAGCAAATCATTATCTTTCTGTCTGCCACAATCCATAACAAGACATAAACTAAAGACTGTTGCCATAATGCACACGAATCCATCACAAACCTATCAATTTCAAAAAGATATTGACTTCTGGAGCGTCAATGTGACAGTTTGAATCAATAACATGACGTTACATGTTCAAAGTTTCTCACACAGCATCACGTGACTTTGCCAACGTTCTCGTTTCATCAACCTTACACTAATCTTGTTTTGTGAAAGATATATTTCATTTTCATAGCTCTGGTTTTGCGGATTTATTAATGCTTGGACATTAACCAATAATTTATAAGAGAAAAAAAAGGAAGCAAAAATATCATTGAACATGTTTAGGCATCAGCAGAGAGGAGCTCTGTGAGGAATGCCTTTCCTCTTGTGCAAAAGCCTCCTCGGCTTCAATGCTGAACACACCCAAGCATTCATCTCCTCAGATGACTCCGCTAACGAGATAGAGGACGACTCCATTTCGCTCATATTTGTTTCCGAATTGTAGTAGTTACCTTTTAGCGAAAATTCAGCATATTGGGGTACTGCAACGGTGATGAATTCGTGACTTTGGTGGTCCTTCGGCGTCACTGAAACTACCGATGCCTGAAATGTGAAACAAGCAAATGTTTCTTGATCCCTTACATGCAATGGAGTGTGAAACATGAAATTGAAGTCGAAAATTTGGTACTGACAGGCGACAACAATTACCTTGCACGCGATGGAGCAGTAGCGATTTGGCATGTCCTGTAGATATTTCCCACAAGCTTCACAGGAAGCACCGAACTTTGCTTTCGTTGATGGTTTGGCGTCTTTGGATTGAGGACGAGGATTTAGATGCACAGCTTTCTCTCCGTTGATTTTATATGTCTGTAAACATTAAGTTGTCATTGTTTGAGATACAGAACATTCAATTCAACAGTAACAAGTAATTGCGACTGATGTTACGATCGAAAAGGCAGGCGAGCTTCGCGATGAACTTAACAAATGAAATCACATACGAATTTTCACCTACAATCATGAAATCCACATACAATTGCTGAGAGTTGTATAAGACAAAGAGTGGGGAAGCAAACCTGAATTTTAGAGCAGTCAAGATGCTTCTGAATTTCTTGAAGGCGAACAACATCATGATAAACGTATTTGCAGATCTGAAACTTTGTGTGAAGGCAATGAGATGTCATACAATGCCTGCAGAGGAGGAGGCTGCAGTCTATGCAGAAGACATTCTTCTCGTTTTTTCGAAGATCTTGATGAACACCGCAGGAACCGAAGAATTTGCTAAGCAAAAGGGTGTTAAGCCAATTATCTGTACTGTTTTTTATGCAAACCTTGCAGCCTACCTACAAAACCAACACATCCCCACTTCAAGACACCTTTCAACAAACATGTAGCAATCACAGATTCATCAAAACTTAATTAAAAAAAAAAAAAAAAAAATCAAGACTCAAAAATCATTCAATCAAATCCACAACCCACAACCAAAGATCATAGATTTGATCAAAACTTTGATTGCTTAGCGTCAAACTCAAAAACCATTCAATAAAATTTCACAAATTCACAAAACCCGCAACCAAAGATCATAACTTTGATTGCTAAGCCTGCAAACTCAAGAACCATCAAATCAAATTTCACAAATTCTCAAAACCCGCAACCAAAGATCATAACTTTGATCAAAACGATGACTGTTTGTCCTTCAAACTCAAAAACCATCCAATCAATTTCAAAAATTCACAAAACCCGCAACCAAAGATCATTACTTTGATTGTTTATCTTTCAAACTCAAAAACCATTCAATCAAATTCGCAAATTCACAAAATCACAACCAAATATCATAAATTTTGATCAATTTACATAAATTTTACCCAGTAACTTCAAACAATCAAATCGAAAATAACAATGATCATAGCAAAACTCATCGAAAGAACTCAAAATCTTACCATTTCTTCAATTTGTATGGACAGAAATTGAATTTTCTGTAATTGCAGGAGTCGATACTTGAAAAAGTACGTGAGAAAAACATGAAAGATTTTGCAAAAATTGCAAACAAGTCCACCTCCACAAGGGTTGTGAGCAAGCAATTGAGAGAGGAGAAGTGAATGAGATTGAAGAATTCACAATGTTATAGGAAAGTAGAAATAAATGGGAACTCCCTTTATCCAAGCAGGCAGGCAAAGAGCTGTGTCCAATTTCCCACTTAATTGCACTCCGCGGGAAGCTAAATGCTGTATATCCGTCGGATCAAACTCAAATGGAATCCGACGGTTGTAGTTTTGAGAAATTATTACTAATTATCGTACTTAATTGTAAATAAAATAATTAGGTCAGTGGGATTTTCTTATGGGGCCATGTTACGCAAAACCCTACTGAGTGAGATTTTCTTATCGCTTTGCGTCCTTTCCCGCCGAAATAAGCGAGATTTTCGGAGCCGTTTTGTCCCTTTTTATTTTCCATTTGTTTTTATTTTTTAATAATAATTGTTTGAGCCTTTTTATTAATTTTTTTCATGAAGCATCAATTTTGATTTAATTTTATAAGCAAAATATTGCCACATTTTGTTAACCCAATGGAAATCGTTACAATCTTTTTTTTGAAAAAAAGAAAAATAAAGAATAAGCAAGTATCAAAAATAACTTTCAATCCGGTAAAAACCCAAGTGAAAGTGCTACGAAATTAAATGTATTTTGATAAATACATATTATTTTTAACTTTTCATATATTATATTTTATTTTGTCCATTGTTTCCATTTAAGTTAGTGTGTGTGTGTGTATATATATATATATATATATATATTCTTTCTTATCGGATGTTCTAAACAAAGGAAGTCAAAAGAAAAAAAAAAGTCATTGACTTTCGTAGCCTCACTAAACTTTAAAGAGAATTCCTAAATTTACTCCAACATTATACAGAATATTCGTATATATTTTGGTTTTAGATTTTATGATACTATATAAAATATAGGAATACATGAAATTACCTATATGCCCAGCCAGAGTTGTAGTATTTGCCTCAGAAGTGGATCGTGCTCACTAGGCAACATAAATGTACCAAACAGTTTGGACGGTTATCCGTCTCCAATAATTTTTCATCTTTATCAGTCAACAAAATAAAAATAAAAAACAAAAATTCAAACGGATAAAGATGAAAATTTATTAAAATTTCGTCAATCGTCCGACCTTATAAAGATAAAAATTTTAAATTTATTGAAATCGTTTCAATCGTTTGGCGCATATTTAGTAATTTTATTTTTCTGTCTGAAATTAAACATTAATAAAGCCTCAAAATTGAAGAAATTTTTTAGAAAACTTTAACGAAAAGTAAAAAAATCATATCTTTACATTAAAAAATCAATCCTAATACTATTCATTTTACCTTTTATTTTATCATTATCGTTAGAACTCAAAATTTTCAAACTCTTTTCATTAATTTTCTTAATTTTTTAGTCCAGAACATTTGAATCACGTCGGTTGTCCCAAACCTTGTTTTGAAAAAGGGGAATTCCCGCATTTGACGCTAGCCAACCTCACACCTTGCATACCCCAATTAAGTCAGGTGTCCTGACCTATACGGCGTGCACACACAACAATCTTCCCAAAAGTTGAGCAAGGGGGCAAGTATGATGGTAAAACTCGTCCCCTTCTTTGAATTATTAGTCCATTTGTCTTAAAAAATAATGATCAGGATTATGATAGGTCAAAAGTTCGATACGCAGCATAAGGGTATGCTTGAAAAGTGTTTCTAAACAGCGGAAATTACTGTTGGTTTCACGATATCTTACATTACCTTTTCTATACAGTCCTGTCCCGAAGCAGCAAGTAAACCTTTGTCTTGTAACAAAATTGGATGGTAATAACCATGCATAACTAGACTACAGAGGCTACACGATGTTCTAGCCGAAAACTAAATAGGGGTTTCTCTACCTTATGATGTCCTAATCCCCATCTTTGCAGCCCTCCGATGGTCTAATGCGCATAATTCCACAGGAACCCCGACCTTCAACTTCTTCGTTGGGGGTTCCTTGAGCGGAATTAACAGAATAATACTGATGTGTGAAAAGCAAAAGACTTCCCTTCTTTACGATCAATCATAATGAAGATGGTGTTTCCTCCTTTTGCACCTATTGACGTACCAACTGGCGTGTTTCTGGAGGCCCATGCCTATCAACACCTTGAGGCTTGTCAGCATAACATATGTCATCGCGAAAAGGATGAGAATCCAAAATTGTTTCCATGGAAGGGAACTGTAAGGAAGATGAGCAGCATATACCGGAGTAAGCACTCGGATGACCTACAACAAGGATGACAGTACTGTTCAGGATTACCTCATAATTATCGATATTAATAACAGTATTTGCACACAAAATTGAATATTTCATTTTCAACACAGCTCAAATCTCATATCAGAACCCTAATTCTTGTAGCCCATTGTAGGATTCTGTGAGCAATTAGTGAACTTTCTACGGATAGATTTTTTGCTCTACCATATAAAAGTGGGGATGACTTCAGACCATGAAAATCGACGTCAAGGTAAGTAATAATAAGTGGCTTACCACACAAGCTGGTGCCAGAGGAATGAATGTAAGATTTTTCTTTGAAGCCTCTGATTGTATATTTAAAGTCTGACGAGATGAAAACAGAGGGTCAGATTTCAATATAATGATCTAAACATACTAAATATCCCTTAATCCTACACTCGGTGAGAAAAAATAAAAAATAAAAAAAAAGGCACCCACAACTTTTTGAGAAGACAAAACCTGCTTGCATAGATCTTCAAGAAACTCTGAGTATGCAATGGGCTTAATGTTATTGAACTTAGCAATGAATGAATGCTTTATGATATCGATAATCATCTCACAGACGTATACTAAGAGAGCATTCTGCAGTAAGCAAATGTAAAAACACTGATCAAAACGTTTGTTGCGCGAGAAAACTTTTTCTTTTATAAAGAACAGTTTCTCGTAAAAATGTCTAGGTCAACTTACAGAAAGAAAACTTTCGAACCAGGGTCCTTCAGCCTCAAGAATGTTTTGAGCTAAAACAAACAAGAGGAATGCTGAAATGTGGAATCTCTCTACTGAATCTGGTTGCAAGAAACCAAAAATAAAATAAAATTTCAGATCAAATGAAAGGATTAAACCCGAGAAAAACTAGATAGCAAATATGACACTAAGATTTAAGCCTGCAGCTTTTCTCTGTAATCATCACACAATATCGCCAACTGACCTATTTGTTTTTATGCAACAAATCATAAGCAGACGAGGTAAAAGCTTCCAAGGTTGTGTTAGGTCTATGCAATAGAATAGATCTAACCATATATAACCAAAATGTTGCAATCTTTATACCCACGATATGATCTATACTTTGGTAGTTGAGCACAAATATGGCCACACTGTAGCAAATGTTAAGCAGCCTTACTATACTAAAGAGTGTATTAGAAGGAATGCATCAGAAAACAGCAATGTCATTCATACGGACCGTAAAATAACACGAAGATAACTCACCAAAGTATACCAGACTATGAATGTTGTCCTTGCTAAATCGTTTAAACACATTGCTTTTTATCTCGGCAAAATTATTGGACACCAGCAAAGCCAACAAGGCATTATTGTGAGCAACTATGCAGGTTGACAAAGTAATTGCCTGAGCTAATAAGATAAATGCATGAATAAGTACGTATAGTTAAGGAACTCTGTAGATTATGCAGGAAAGTGGGGTAAAAAAAAATCTATGAATAAAATGATCTTTCCAAAGGATATTTGAGGCAGCCACAGCTAAAGCTTGATCGCAAATGAATCTCCAAATCCAGAATCTCATGTTTTCCGGTGGACAACTTGCAAGACCATCTGCTGAGTTAAATAGAGTTTGCAATACATCTGGGTTAAAACTTTGGCATAGTTTATCAAATATCTGCAAAGTACAAAGAAAGCAACTCTTAGACTGCTGCCGACAACTATGCTTCTAAGATATAGTGCAGTGACATTTTGTTTCGCCTCAGCCTTTTCGCCTTTTAAAAAGATGAACAACATAATGTTCTGAAGAGGAAATTGAAAAGAAATACAAGTGTCAAAACTTAAATCATACGATCAATAACTTAATTACCTCCAACACGTTGTAAACCACATATAATTTGATTGTTCCTTGACCACGGATCATGTGATATATTAAGCTGATATCTAAGGGAAGCAAACAAATAAATAATACAATCAGTATACTACATAGTACACCCAGCTATTGCTCTAATCAATGGAACTGGTCATCAGGTTATAATAATATCCACAAACTGGTTGCTATAAGACATTACAATGTGAAAGAATAGCTCCATTATCTTCTTACTCACCTGTTTGCTGCAAGAGAGTGACTCCACAAGCCATTATGGTAAAACACCCAAAATCAGACAGCTCTGCTGCAGATGGCCTCTTAAACTGCCTGCCCAGGTATGGTTAGGTCACGTTGTAAATATCTTGACATTCGTTACGGTTTACCAAAATTTAACACAAAAACAAAAACAGCATGAAAACAGAAATTTCACTACAGTGGTACAAACTTCAAAGCACCTGAATGACTCAGCCGATATAAATGAAAGAATTCAAAGAACTCAACTTTACGAAATTATGAGACAAACCCAGAAGGGGAAAGTGAACCTTAAGTGTATAGTCCTCCAAACAGTCATCAAAATTCTCGTTGGCATGATAGTCAACAGTGACAGAAACGAATCAAAGCACACAAAGAAGCCAACATCTATAAGCTGCAGCAAAGAGGGTCACAGTAAACACAGAGTTGTACACACATTTTCTCAAGGAACAATAAATGATAGGTGCTGCTAAAAGATTACCAATTCACATCGCCATGGCAATCGAAATATGGTGTCGTAAACTATCTCTCGTTCCTTCTCATTGCCAAGGGTGGTTGTGCTCCGCAACGAATTGCCAATCGACATCTCTTCCATGAAGTACTGCACTGGCGACTTGTCCACTGAAAATACACCTGAGAGAAGAAGCCAAAATAAATATCAAAATTTGAAGAATTTGTAAACAAAAACTGCATGAGGGAAAAGCAAAAGGACTCACAATTTGGATCTTCGGCCATGAGCCGCTTCCAATCCAATGACTCGGCGGTCTGCAATTTCGGGATCGCGTTCCCATTGGGCTCGCTCCTTTGCTTACTCGCCGAACCGCCCTCCGCCACACTTTCCTCCTTGGCCTCGCCTTGAATACGAGGCGACGCCGTTTCCGTCTCTTCCACGACTCCCCCGGCGCTCCCAATGACCGTCCTCTGCCTCAACTCGGCGGCCCCGCGCAAATTCTGAAACTCGGGATCGACGACCTCCGTCGTGAGGGGCAGGAGCACGGTCTGGGCACTGTAATTGAATTCCAATCCGTTGCCGCGAATATCGCCGGTTTCTACGTTTGTGGTTTCGGAATTGACATCGAAGGAGTTAGAAACGACGCCGTAGATGGCGGTGGGGCTTTCGGGTATGGAAGCGTGGGCGGTGGCGGGTGTCTTTCTTCTTCTTCTTCTTGCGTTTTGTCCGGGCGGACTTGGCGTTGGTGGATTGATCGGATTGGAGGGGATCGGAGTTGGTTCGGTAGAAGATTGCTTCGTCATGTTCGTCGTCGAGGGAGCCGTTTCTTCTCAGAATCTCGAACGACAAATTTCGACCGTTGGATCTCAACGCCATGAGACGAGACCTTCAGAGAGCTTTTAATTTAGAACTGGAAGAAGAAGAGATTCATAATTTGTGAATTACCACGAAAAAAATGAAAAGAATGAATAAGAGAGTGAGACTGAAAGAATCAATGTGATTGTATCTGGGGGTTTGGGCTGGGTATTTTTTTTTTTTAGTAACTAAAAGTTAGGTGCTGTTTATTTTAACGAAAAATTATATTTTTATACTCAAAATCAATTCTGATATTATTTACTTTACCTAATTCCTCCCTCTCACTAGTGTAGATAATATTGTATTATTAAGAAGAAGAAAAAATCACAAGACATGGTGTGATATCGTTAATAAAAAAGGCTAATGGTGTAGCATTTTTGTCAAGTTTGACGACTAAAGTAACTAATATGAGAGCTTGGTAATTAATGTTGAAACCGTCTATATTTTAGATTACCTTCGAACACCGTCACCTCAAGATTTTATCTACATTCGAAGTTCATTTATATGCTCAACATAGACAAAGAATGCTCAACAAATTGCGTCTTATAGTTGTGCCAGAAAATTATAATATCTATCCTCTCGTCAATCCCCTTCTAATATTTAACAATGTGAGTCACAAACGTTATCGGATCTTGGACTCTTTAATTTCTAGATTCCAAAGGCCCAATCTATTGTGGGTTTGGGAACTAAATCAAAGCGGGCCCAATGAGTATAATACAATAATATACAAGGAAAATAAATTATTAAATACAACAACTTGAAGCAAAATACAAAAATGGCGCCAACGAGGGGCCGCCGGCAACAACGACATTATTCAACTCCAGAGACTAGTCGTCGCTGAGGAAAAATATGGTGGGCTTTTTGGGCTCCGTGATATCCACCGTCCCCTCCAACATCTTCGCCACCTTCCCCATCGACGGCCGCATCTCCGGCCGATCCTGCAAGCACCACATCGCCGTCTGCACCATCCGATTCACCGCATCGAAATGCACCCTGCTATCGTACGAGTTCTTGATCCGACGGTCCAGAATATCCTCCACGTTCATCTCCTTAAACACCTTATCGAACGCCCATCTCGGAAAGTACCAGTCGTCGCTCTCGATCCTCGACCCTTGGATCTCGGTGTTGCGGACCCCACTCACCAGTTCCAACAGCACCATCCCGAAGCTGTACACGTCAGCCTTGGGCGTGATCTGGTCCGCCTTGATCCACTCCGGCGCCATGTACCCGCGGGTCCCGTGCATCCGAGATATAGTCACCATGTCCTCCTTTTTCTTCAGCTTCGCCAGCCCGAAATCCGATATCTTGGGGCAGAAATCGTCGCCCAAGAGAATGTTCTCCGGCTTGATGTCGCAGTGCAAAACCCACTCCAAACACTCCTCGTGGAGGTACGCGATCGATCTCGCAACACCCAACGCAATTCGGTATCGGATCCCCCAATCGAGTATCGGTTTCCGCTCGTCATCGATCAGAATATCCGTTTCGTCCGCCGAGTCTGACGGCGTAACCCGACCCGGTTGGAAGAGGTACTTGTCGAGGGATCCATTTGGGACGTACTCATAGACTAAGATCCGTTGACCCTTTTCCGCGCAAAAGCCCCAAAGTCTGACCAAATTGAGGTGGTGCATCCGGGCAATAATCGTTACCTCCGCCCAGAACTCCGCGTCACCGCCGGTGACATGCTTCAAACACTTAACCGCCACGACGCGCTGATCGGTTAATTCGCCTTTGTAAACGTCTCCAAACCCGCCTTTGCCGATGAGGTTCGAGAAGTCTTTGGTGGCGGCTTTAAGTTCAGCGTACGAGAACCGCTTTGGGCCCCCGGCGGGGAGGAACTCGAGACCCAGAGTCCGAGCCATGTCTCTGTACTTGATGTACTTCTTTATAAATGCCCAGAAGAAAAGCACGCCGGAAATCAGCTCCGCCGCGAAAAGGGTGCATATAATCACAATGTTCCTTGTCGTCGCGTTCGAATCCTCCGGCGGAAGCGGGAGGCTTATCTGAACGGGACACGTCGTCTCCAGCAGCTCCGTCATCCCTGTAAAATTCGACCTGTCAGTCTCCGATTTGTCGATCCGGAGAAACATAGCGGTTTCGGATCCGGGCGACCAGTACCCGTATAACAATCTCTCGAGCTGGAGCACGCAGTAGCCTTTGCCGTCGTATTTGAACATGAATCCGAGGCAATCGTTTCTCGCCAGGCATCTCGATTCGCAGACGCTGAAATTGGTGGCGGGCCAATTGGTCTGGTTCGACCCGCCCGTGAAATTCACGTAATCAAGCCGCTCAAATCTGGTGTTCCCCAAATTCGTGAGCTTAATTTTCCTTTCGCACCCTCCGTCTTTGATTCCGCCGGCGGATTCTCTAAATCCCGGCGGGCACACGCAGTAAGAGGAGCTCGAACCGTCGCTGACACAGATGGCGTTCGGCCCGCACGTGCCGTGGACTTGGCACAATTCGTACCCGGCTTGCCAGACGATGTTCCATTGCCGCAGACTGGGGTCGAAGCTGTAAATTCTGAAATTCCCGTCGTTGTCGATCGTCAGTCTTCGAGATCGATTGAGGCCGAAATCGGAGGCGATAAACGACTCGCCGTTTGCCTGCATGCACTTTGCCGTCGGAGTCCAGAGACTCGAAAGCGTGGCTGAGACTCTGATAGACGTCAGTGTCGTTGAAGACTAAACTACTCGCGTTGACGACGCTGAACTTGCCGTTCTTGGAGAGGAGGGTGAAATTAGCTCCGGTCATGCTCTGGTTCGGCAACACGGTGTCAGTGGGGAAGGCGAAGCTCTCCCATTTGCCGTAAATTAAGTTTCCGTCGTTGCGGAGGAGGAGTCTGGTGGTATTTGGGTTCGAAGAAGAAGGTCCTGGCCACAAGTTGCCACCGCCAGCGGCGGCGGAAGAGTTAGTGAGACGGAGGACGCCGGCTGCCGTGATAACGAGGGTTGCGGAGGGGGATAATGGGGATTTTGGGTTGGCGGTCCAGACGACGGAGTTGGGGGCGGAGATGTTGTGGTACCAGACTGAGAAGTTGAAGAGGTTGGAGGAATTTGGTAGGCTTAGGAAGCCGGCGGCGAAGAGGGAGTTTGGGGAGAGGAGGGTCTTGTTCTTCTGGGATGGAGTCCATGGGGAGTCTTTGGAGGAGAAGGAGGAGAGTTGTTGGCCGGAGGAGGGTGGCGGGTTTGAGAGGATGAAGGCGAAGAGGATGGAGAGGAGGAAGGTAGACATGGTTGTGGTGAGTTTGATTGGCTGTTGAGTTTGATTGGTGGTGTATTAATGGCGGCTTGGCCACGGCGGGTTTGACTGACATTTTTGCTTTGACGGAAGTCTGTTGACTTTGAAATCTGGAAGAGTTAGCGAGCCTCCACTGATTCATGTTTTCATTTGTTAATTTGGTCAATACATTATTAAATCATATCTTACTGGCAATTTTAATTAATTGGCAAATACAATTCTAAAGTATTCAATTTTTCGAAGACGGGACAAATTTATATTTAGTCAAGTTGGTTAGAGTTATGTATTTTCCCATTAGTATTTTAAGTTTGACTCCTCCTTAGCGTGCAATATTTGCTTGATTGTTGAAAATAAATAGACTTTACTTCAATATAAGTAGACAAATTATTTTAATCAACTAGCTTAATTCATATTTTTAGCTTAATTAATCTCAATTAAATACAGAAATTGGAAAGCGATGCAGCAGCAAAACAAACAGAAAACAGCCAACAGATTCATACTTAATTGGATAGAATTTGAAAAAGTCATATAAAATCCAAAAATGGAAAATGATTCACAAGCCATCCAAGAGGAAGGCTTAGGCTGCTGGTATTACACGTTATTCTGCATACCATGTGCTCTCGGGGACCCAAAAAAATCCAACCCAACCCAACCCAACCTAAAACTCGAAACTAAAAGCTAAAAGCTAAAAGCTAAAAGAAACCCAAATTCCGCCCAACTTTTAGCCCAAGATTGGGCATGGACCCCTGTGCTTGAAAAGTGAGCTGTGAAACCCACATGCCGATCCCTTACTTGCCCAACGCACGGCATGTCAGAGACAATCACAGAAGAAACCCACTGGGCTTGTCCCCCACATGTCAGCCCAGTCGGATAGCCTAACGGCTATATTTGTGATCCAACAACCAGATTTAAATGTTCAAACCTTTTTTTTTTAGTTTTATATTTATATAGAATCTAATGGTTGAGATTGAATATAATCAAATTTAACGATAAAAAAAAAATCTAACGGCCTAAATTTAAATTCAACGGCTAATTTGTGTTTTATGTAATTTGTATTTATACATTTGTATCATGATTTTCATATTCTTCCATAGTGTTTCATGAGTTTCATGTATCGATTTAGTGATTTTTCAATAATTATCAGAATTTAAATATTTTTAGATTAAAATGATCATAAAATTAATTTATGATAGTCTACCTAATTTTTTTTAAAGTTAATTTAAAAAAAAAAGCTTAAATTCATTTTTTAATAATGTGGGACTAAATTTTTAGATCATAATGGTTGGAACAGAAAAGTTGTTTCTGAAGTAAAAATTTAAGGTGTTAGGCAAAGGGTTGGAGATGGTCTTAGGTTGACCTTGCTCCTTCCTCTCTCTTCTCATTTAGGTCACCATAGCCACCACCTCCAGCATTCTACTTCAGGTTCGAGATAAATCGACTGGGACGAACAGCAAGAGAGAAGAATCTGCCTCTCTTCTCTCACAGTTTGAGGTGCGTGGATTTTAGATCCGAAATCGACGAGAGCTAACTGGCCCGAGTTTTAGAAAGTAGGGGAATTGGCCAGCGAAGTCTCTGGCACGGAGTGATCAAGGAGGGTGGTGGGGAGAGATGGTACTGGGGTGTATGATGATTTTTCTTTTCTTTTTTTTTTAAGTTCTAAATTTTTTAATTTTCTTTTAACTAGGATATTTTTTTTGAGAAGTTGCTTACCAAACAAGTTCTTGAATTTAAAAATTTTAAATCAAAACTTAGAATATTTTTATGAATAAAAAAATCAAAATTTTGAGTCAATTCTCAAAAGTAGGATACCAAAGGGCCTCTCAAGAATGTGTATCCAACTTGGAAAACCAAGTAACCCTACAATTATAAGCAAGCAAGCAGATTTATACGACCAGAGCCGGCCTTCATTTCTTACATTGTTCTAGCCCTCCTAGAGGTCACATTTCATCAGATATATTTACAATTGTTTGAAAACTGTAGCCATAAATCGTATCGCTACGAATCATGTCACCACAAACATTGTTAACTCTGGCTTACTGGTCTAAAACAAACAGAAAAAACCAAGTGCCGATCTCTGAAACACGTCCAATCTTCTTCCGAAGAATCTTTCGCAGTCAACTAATCAGCCATAGATGAAATCAAGGAACTCATTTTGTTTTTATCTCATACATTCTCGACTTACTTGTTGATTGACTGACTAAACAAGTTTAATTAATCTTCTTAAAAACTTTGTAGTTGCAGCCTCGATCGGTCGAACCAAAGACAACATCTTCATCGTGTACGCAGAAGACAGAAAGCAACTCCGTAACCAACTGCCACTTCATCTGGCAATATTAATTTTCCTGTACTTTCTTTCTCTTCCTTGAGTTCACAAACCCTAAACCCCACAGTCTCTCGACATGCAGAAGCGATTTCGGCAAGTTTTCACAGCTATAAGAGAGCACAGCTCCGTGAACTATGCCAAAATCGCTATGGTTGGAGGGTTTTGCAATGTCGAACTCATCATCATAAAAACCACTGCTCCTGATGACTTGCCATTGCCCGAAAAGTACATTCAGGAGCTCTTGAAAATCTTCTCCATCTCCCCGTCTTCGTTGAGAGATTTTTTACTCAGCTTCGCTCGCCGCTTTGGCAAGACTCACTGCTGGCGGGTTGCACTCAAGTGTCTAATTCTACTCCACCGCCTACTCCGTTCGGTGCCTGAAGACAGCAACTTCCGGTCTGAGCTCCTTTGGGCTCAATCCAACGGTTTGATGTCTCTCAATCAGTGTCACTTCCGCGATGATTCTTCCTCGGCTTCTGCCTATTACAGTGCCTTTATTAGATCGTACGCTCAGCTCCTCGACGAAGCTCTTCATTGCTATTGGTTGGATTCCAGGGCAGCGTACGACCAGCAAGAACAACGACAATATGAAGAATATCACAAACAAGAAGAAGAATACGAAGAAGAAGGAAAAGAAGAAGAAGAGCCGGAATTTGAGAGCTTATCTAATAGAATGACGGAAGTAGGTCGAATGCTTGAAGTGTTGCCACAGCTCCAAACCCTCATTGACCTTGTCATGGACTGCCGTCCCACAGGACCAGCAGCCAAAGCCTTCCTCGTCCAACTCGCCATGAAACACATCATCAGAGACAGCCTCATGTGCTACACAATCTTCCGCAGCGAAATCGTCGCGGTTCTGGACAGTTTGTTTCAAATGCCATACAGGAGTTGCATTTTGGCTTTCGGCATTTACAAAAAGGCAGCCGTCCAAGCAAACCAACTCAGCGAATTTTACGAGTGGTGTAAAGCCATGGGACTCTGCGGATCGTACGAGTATCCCTTCGTTGATCAAATCCCACACATACAAATTCATGCTCTCGAGAATTTTCTCAATGGTATGTGGCAGTTGACGGAGTCCTCATCCACACCAACTTCGCCAACTTCTTCGGCCTCGGTGTCGTCATCTTTCGTGGAGTTTTCAAGTTCCAGCACTTTGACAGAGGACGATATTAAGGATTTTGTATTTATGTCACAAAATGATCATATTCCTGTTAGTACAAAATGGGAGAAGTCGTTGATTCAGTTCGAAAGAGAAGGTTATGACGAGGAGAAGCTGTTGATTCAGTTTGATGAGGAGAAGCCGTTGATTGAGTTCGATGATGATATCGTTGACGAAAGCTGGGAGACCCTGCTTGATGCTTCCATTAACAAGTCTCCTGATGCTGAAACTCAACAAAACAATGTATGGCAGATGCAAATATGCAACCCCAATGCTCTAAATCCTTTCTATGATTCCATCAGCCAGTCATCAGGCCAAATTACCATGAGGACTATAACGTTTGCTGTAACCAAATTTAGCTGAAAAATGCAGGCTTTATATAAATATTGTAGGAATTATATAAATATTTGTTTCATTTTTTGATAGAGTGCCTTTATTGACATCCAACTTTTGGTTTAGTTCATCCAACAAAAGAATTTTGTCATTATAATTCCCAATTTGAGTAACCACGCTGATGAACTTCCATCCGTTGCATGCTATGAAATTTCAATTCCCGAAACTCACCATACATACAGTTGGCTATGATACCAACTAATACAGATACGGAAGCGCACACATCAAGTTATCAACAATAACTGCACATTAAAACGGACATAGGGATTAAAACGCAGGGAACCCTTGAAGGCCAAAGAGCAATATATTTAATAATAGAGTAATGCTAGAAAGATCAAATTTTTTAAATCAAATGAGATGTCACCAATAAGAAATATACACGTTAATTGATACTTAATTAATAATTCAATTATCTACAACTACATCATTTAATTTGTAAATTTGGTTTAAAAAATTAGGAAAACTAATGAAAAGGGCTTGAAAACTTTGAGTTTTAACGATAAGGACAAAATAAAAGGTAAAGTGAATACTACTGTTGACCCTAAAAATTACAAAGCCTACGTGGCGCGCAGGTCGAGTAACTAATAAGCTAACTACGTCCTTCGGTTGAATGCGGGGCGTGCCAACTCGTCGGCCGAGGAGTAAAATTTGTTGATGTTGCGTTGAGCGCATTGCTGACTTCTTTATCTTGCGACTGCGGCCGAGGAAGGTATAAATCTCGGCCTTTGGATTCTCGAGCCTAAAGACAAGGCTGCTAGTTCTGCGAAGTTCACAAATCGTCGGCGCCAGATTCGGTCACAGTGATTATATTCGTGAGAGTATAAGCACGTCGAATCGACACCAGACTGTACAGACACAAGTATTCAAAGGTGATGTATGTCTTGATGGTGAATGTGGCTCGGTCACCTTCACAGTGCTGTTTATCCAAACTGAAGGTGCGTCAGCGGAAAAAGAAAATAATAAAAAATCTCAAGTTGTTTGAGAGGTTTGCGCAGGACAATTGTGTGTTGAATTAGAGGTCCTTCAATTGCAACCTCCTTTCTCTATTTATAGCAGCAAATCCCAATCCTAACCATACTCGAACTAGGACTTCTTACCCCAAGCCATTTTATCTCGGCCAATCCTACTTCTATTAGGATTTTGAATTCAACCTCTTACTAGGCCACATTCACTTCCACTTTCCGGTATCCTTATCTGGTCGAGAATCCTTACTGCATCAGGACTTAACCACTTCATTCATCTGCTTTGCAATAGAGCCCACCTACTTCCTATTCATCTGGAACATTCTTTTCCAAACAGGGCTTGGCCGACTCTTAGTTAGGCGGCCCATGAACCGGCTGGTTTGTAGAAATCCTCGAACAGAGTTTATGGGCCGAGAATAATTCCATACTTGGCCCAACCTAATAATTTTAGGTCCAAACAACTACCATGATTGACATTTTAGTGTAAAAATGTGATTTTTCGTTAAAATAAACAATACCGGGAACTTTTCGTTAAAGTTCCCTACAAAATTTGGTCTACCTAGCATTACTCTTAATAATAATATTAATCAAGGAATTAGATTTTATTATACGGGATATCTTGGGGAATCAATCAACTGTTACATGTTCGTAAATTTTTACAAACATATGAAGTGAAACATGAGGAGTTTTACACAGCTTTATGGTTTACAGTGTAGTGTTAAATGAGAGTGGTGGATCTCTTGTGCAACATGTTGAGGTAAAAAACATTGGAGATGAGGATGTATTCGTGAGCAACAACCATTCAGTCTCCTTTTTGGCTTCAGACTTTCCTGCGCACCAACCAAAATCCACATATTTCACAGATCGATGACTAGGTGGAACTCGAGTTGAGGTTACCTAATTCCGCATCAAGTGATATGGGTATTTTCAATTTAGAGAATTAAAATTATATTCATACATGTTCTTATAAGAGGATGATTATCTAAACATACAGTTTGAGTTGCAAACAATAACAAATGCAGTAAATAGTAAATTGATTTCGTTCAGACTGAGGGAGGGGACGACAAACCATCTCGCCTTCAAAATACAATATAAAAGGCCAGCTTCATTACCTTACATACAACATTACAAGGCAATACCTGCTTAACTTAAAACTACGAGTGCAACTTGGGTTGGGTAAACCGAATTCGGCCATGTCAAGTCTGAATTCAAACATAATCCGGCGAATTAGAATGAAGTAAAAACCCACTCAAACGCAACCCGAGCTCAACTTGATTATTTATTGGGTTGATGTTTTGTCTGCCCATGTCAAACCAAACTCAACCCGATTTCTAGCCGAGTTTCTCATGCACATCACTCGTCCCACTTCATATTATATAAGCTAGTTAAAAGTGGGAGGGATGTACTTGAAGTTTGTTGCTTGGTTTTGTCTTGTAATTTAGTTTCAACTCTACATAGTTGAAACTTTATAATGCTTCTATGCTATTTGGTTGTATATATTTTGTATGGATGATGGTGTGTAAATTGGATTTTAAATAGTTTTAACGTTATTTGTTTTAAAATTTGAAATTTATTTTACAAAATAATGTGTTACAAGATTGAACTTAACAAATTTGTGGAAATTCAAACCCAACTGAGTTTTCGTTGTGTTTTTGTACATTTGATTGGGCTTTTCTGATTCCACTTTCTTACTGGTCTTCAATCTCATATTTGAAGACCAAGCATGATGTAAAGAGGGCATGAAGGGTCAAGATGATGACACTTGTTATAATAAAATTTGCCCTTTAATTTGTCTATACCTTTGATCTTTGTAACCTTTAATTTATCTATACATTTGATCTTTGTAACTCTCTCTATCTTCGTATTACTCATTCATCTCCTTATTACAGTTACCATTACCAAACCTTTCTCTTGAATCCAAACTTTTCTTGTAACCCGTACTAAGCGAACATTTAGTTTGCTCAAATATCTCAAAAGGATAACACAATAGATATTCAAATAAGTGTTGAAACAAATATGCAAATAAGTTTTGACATTACTTTCAAATGCGCAGACAAGAGAGCTTGCAACCTGATTTAGCTTATAAAGTTGACACTAATAGTTGTATTTGAAGAAGTGCGGAGTTACAGAAAAATGGCTCAGAACGAGTGGGAGAGGGATAATAAAGTTGTGTTGTCCTTGTTATGCCCAGATTGTTTCATGCTAAGTGTGTTTTTGTTAGGTTAGATTGGTAGGTTTGGCGAAAATTACATGATCTATCTTGTTTCGTTCCCAAGAAAAACACATGTACATACACCATTCTCAAGTGGTGTTAATGTTTATTATCAATGAGTTTAAATTTTAAAATTTATATCTATTCATCATGCAGATTTTGAAATTTAAACTCATCTGATGATAATAAATAGAATGGTGAGCATCACCATCACTTGAAGATGATGAGCAAAAATATTTTCTTCAACCCTAATCCTCTCATTCAACACAACACAGAAAAGCAATGATCGTTCATCATAATTTTCAGCCCAACAACAAAATATAAATCATACCCTCCGGGTAGGAGGAGAGATTTTTCAATATGCACGGAGTGATACACCATATGTCATTATACAATTGGATGACATTTGAAAAAAAAAATTCCTTCACTTCTATAATAACATGTGGCATACCGTCATGTGTTCCGGACACACTAAAAAATCTCTCTAGAGATTGGTCAATTATTGCAAAGTTCATAGTCAAATGACTGAGAGACCCATTTAAAATAGTGGGCCATTTAAGCATCTAGAAGAACAACTTATGAGATAAGTAATTGATTGCGCATGACTTAAAGTTCGCAACCAATTAGATGGATAATTTTAAAACTAAGAAGGTCGTTTGCCTTCGAAAGTCTGCTATTTTGTGGCTGTCGTTCAAAGGCGTGGTTTGAGATGGATAATTTTAAAACTAAGAAGGTCGTTTGCTTTCGAAAGTCTGCTATTTTGTAGCTGTCGTTCAAAGGCGTGGTTTGATGAGAATTTGAATTTTATCCGTGTCCTATCCTGCAAAAAAGTTATTGGAAAACCAAGATAGTCACCCCTTGTCTAATATTTTTAAAGAAACCTAAAAAAAATCAGAATTATATCCGTGTTCAAGACTGCAAAAATATTTACAAGAAAACCTAGATAGTCACCTGTCATTTAGTCAAGTTTATTAGAGTAGTATGCTCTCTCTCATTTGTCCAAATTTGAATTCCGCAATTGTTATATAGATTAATTTAGTGTAAAATTATCACTTTTATAAATAAAATACAAAACTTGAAGGCAACCTGATGTGAACAAGCAACCAACTCAACACATATAGACATAGATAATTGCTTTTGGAGAGCAACCTTTGGCGTCCTTAACCAATTTTTTGCAACTTTTGAGATTAGCCAGCCACTTAAAAACTCTGCGCCCTGTTCATTTGGCTGGATCCGAGACAGAGTTTGGTTAAAAGGAGAGAGATCTGCTGTGTTTGCTTTGTAATTTTCTTGGTTTTGTGTTTTCCAATTTTGTTTGTTTGTTTAGTTTCTAAAGATCAGTCAATTCGGGCTCTTGCGATCTTGCAGAGCCATCAAGTCTGAATTGGTCTGTAGCTAATATGTAGTGGAATCGTTTTCTAGATTTCCAGTGACAGATGACAATATCACAATTTTTGTATAGTTGTATTCAAAAACCCTAGCAGCTCTCACATGGTATTTGTAATATTCGAGTTATCATCCACCTTAAAAGTCCAATTCAACCTTTTCCTTTTAGATAATACACCGAATTCGTTGATAGAGAGATTGGCTCATTAATCAAACTATTTCACATATATATATATATATATAATTTTTGTATGATTACTTTTACTGATTATAGGCTCATTTGAAAGTGTTTTTAAAATGACTGAAAACGTTTTCTATGAAGATATTTTTGTTCAAAAGCATTTGAAGTGTTTCTTACAAGAAACACCGGTTATGTACTATTATCTTGCAGGAAGTATTTAAGTGTTTCTTCGGGATTCACTTACATTTTTACTAAAAACTGGTTCAAAAAGACTCATCAAAATC